GGAAGATCTAGATATGGAATGTTTTACATTTAATGAATTTGGAACAAATGAAATAAAAAAAATTAAATTAAGTCCTGATAGTTTTATACAAATTGCAATGCAAGTTACATTTTACAAGTTACATGGAAAACCACCAGTTCATTACGAGACTGCAGCATTAAGAAGATTTCAAAATGCACGAACGGAATGTATTAGATCCACTAGTATTGAATCCATAGATTTTGCAATAGTTATGGTTTCTAATAATTTAAGTATAAGTAAGGAAAAAAAGAAAGAACTGATGATTAGAGCAATACACATGCATAAACAAATTGCCAACAAGGTATATTTATATATTGTATATAAATAGATATTGTATTTTATATAATTACAATAAATTTTTTAACGAACATACCATAGGCAATAATTGGTGAAGGTGTTGACAGACATTTATATGGTTTAAAAATGATAGCCATGTGTGATGGAATAGATCTTCCAAAATTATACAAAGATATAGGGTATACAAAGAGTACATATTTTACTCTGACTTCTAGTCAGGTAATTTTTAATTCTAATTTTATAATTTATAGCAAAGCAATTAAAATTCTTGTATACTAAACAATTAATATATATTGTCATTCACAAGTATCATCATAAATTTAAGTGGTATTTTAGGTACCTTACAAAAGTGCATCTTTTATGTGTTATGGTCCAGTTGTTCCCGAAGGTTACGGATGCTGTTACAATCCACGACCAACAGATATTCTTATTGCTTGTTCTTCTTTCAAATCATGTGGAGATACTAGTTCAAAAAAGTTTGCAAATATTTTAAAGGAGGTGTTGCATAATATGATAAAATTGGGAAGTGTGTAATTGAAATTACTTTCATAAATGATGGTTGAAATTTATATACTTGTATTTTTTATAGATAAGTAACTTTAAGTTTCAATATTTATCAAAGGTATATTTATATGCTTTAAGAAATTTAATTTTATGTTGTTTTTCTTCATATAATAGAAGAAAAAATAATGTATACTATTAATTAAAGATAAAGAAAATTAAAAGGAAGAAATAAACATAATTACTAAGTACTTGATTATAACTCTTCATGCGTAATAGAAGATGAAGATCTTTCTGTGGGGAAGCCCCAAAAGAATGTAGGATATCCTTTCATTTCTCTTTCTCTTGCAGCAAAAGCTGAGAAAGACGATATGCAATTTCCTATAAAATAATTTGCTCTTCCAAGAATAGCTAAATCTAAATGAGGAGATGTAGGTGAATCTTGTCTAAAAACATGGATCTGTAATAAATATCCAGATTATATTTGATTTGAACTTTTTTTATAAATATTGTTATAGATATATGAATTATATTAATTAATTTCTTACTTCCATCCGTGCCAAGGCTTTAGTAAGTTCTTCGATCATATAATTATTATCGGACGCTACGAATACTGATTTTATGTCCTTACCATTACGAATGACACGCTTTAGATGGCGTACTATTAAATCAAATGATGGTAAACACATAGCGGAAGTTGCTTTTCCACGTTCGTTTCGATATCCAAGGCATTGAGGAGCGGCAAAAAGATTTGGCGTGCTTGATATAAATTCACAAGCACGAACCTATAGACAACAAAGCACATTTTGATTTAAGATTTTAATTTTGTATTACTTTTTAAATTCATAATTTATTACATTCTGAATATTTAAAAAGTAGTATTGGTATATACCCAATCAATCCCATTACGTAAATGAACTCCTACAAATGCCCTCCTTGGTAACTTTTGTTTTATAAATGTTTTTGCTTTATTCAGCATGTCTATATTCCATTCAAGACATTTATGCAATTTTTTATTTTCCAATTGAACAGGAAAACTAGCAGGTGCACCTGTAAATGCTAATACTGGCCAATTCAATGCAGGATATTGTTTCTTCCATTGCACTGCCATGTCTGTATGATAAACATCATAATGAAGGGGACCATAAAATTCTGATTTTACAAAATCTATGTTGTATGTATCCCAAAATGGACCAAATGGATTTCCCTCTTTAGCATTACATGAATCTCCTTTCCCACGTGCAGAATAGCAAAAAGCTAAAAGTGACAGTATGCTTCAGAAGAACATTTTGTCTTTCCATTTAACAGTCAAGACTTACATACTCTTTCCTTAGGTTGCCATATTCTTGGTGCAATATCTTGCATGAAGTTTTCCATTAATACTGCTTTATGGCAACTTTGCACTTGTGAGACATTAAAATATGTATCAAAAGGAACTTGTATCTGAAAAATTACAAATTCACTTACAAAAATGTTATATAACTTATGTAAAATATTAAATGCTATTGTTTACTAACAGATCTAGTTTCTCCAGTCCTATATTCAACCCATGGTGGTAAAACTAGAGTACGATTTAATGCTTTTGCAAATCCTAAAGCACCTAAAAAATGATCTGCTTGATTTCCAAATCGTCCTAAAAAATGTAATTACATTGGTAATTTAAACAAACCATAATCATTTCTTTTCTATCATAAAAATATTATTAAAATCTTACCCATACACGGACAATAAACAATGTATCCATTTGTATCAATATCGAAATCTTCACAGCACGTACTATAAAACTTGGTCATTAGTAAAATAAAAAAAATAATACTGAACATTATGATCGAATTTTAAAAAATTTAGTTTAGTTAATTATAAATAACTTATTATATAAAATGTAATGGGTTAGGAATGCAATAAACAATTTAATCTAAATTATTCCGGTCTTTATGCATTTCCACCATTGCTATGGATACGTGCATTGATTACCGAAAATGTAGAAATGCTTTCAAAATCAAAGCATAGGGAAAACAGACACGATGTAGGGATATTATCTTCTTCCCTACTATTGATTATATTTTATTTAATACTGTTACGTTCTATGATTTTCATGTGTAAAAATAGAAATATTAGGCGAGCACCAACAACCAAATGTTAAAAACTACTATATGTTGCGTATGGCCAAATCTTTCTTTTACTTCTATATCATAAATTGCGCAATGTTTTCTCTTTAATATTTGGAAGGATCGATATAAGACCACCACAGATGAGGACAGAATAGACCTATCACCTCATCGGAATTTATGTTTCATGTTCTGAAATACGTAAATTAAGGAAATATATGTATATAATCTAATTATATAAAATGGCACAGTCGACAGATATAAAAGATTCTCTTTTGTTAAATCTGCATATAAAAATATTCACATACATTGGATTGAGTGGGTATTTACGCAAGATAACTCGTCCAGGTATTTAGCAATACAGAAATGAATAACATAACGAAAGGAATACGGGTAGGCAAGAATAGCACTAAAGTAATGCGTTAGACAAGGAAAGAAATATCGTTAGACAAGGATAGCAGTAGAGTAATGAGTTAGACAAGGAAAGTTATAGTGGTAGATAAGGAAAGAGAAAAAAAAAGGTGAGCGAGACTTACGCCATCTCGCGTTTGGTGACGCGAACTACTATTTCTTAATAGGATAACAGAATATAAACAGAGGTATTAGACAAGGATAGCACTAGTGTGCGACAAGGATAGCGAGAAAACGCTTCCTATTGGTCAGCGGGCCGCCGAGCTCCACGTATCGGGCTCCAGATTAAGTCGATCGATGAAAAATCATTAATAACTCAATAATTAGGATGATTTTATGAACTTTTAAAATTGAAGAATGAAGTATGGACTTTCAGCAACTTTCACATATAGTTTTTATTGCACTAAACCCTTTCAATAATTAGTCATTAACAATTATTGTGTCGAGTGTCGGCAGCGATATCGTACACCCTTCTGGTTTTTCATTAATTTTGTAGCTTTGTATAAATATGTTATGCACTTTCATACATGTGTTAGAAAGGCTATTCCTTTAGCTAGTTTCTCGTTATATTTTCATTAACATAGTCGTCGTAATTTGCGAGCTATTAAACATTATTTGGATAAGTATTATACTCGTTGTATTTAACCGTAACACATTTCCGCAATTTCATTAATAACTCAATAATTACGATGATTTTGTGAACTTTTGAAATTGAAGAATGAAGTACGGACTTTCAGCAACTTTCACATATAGTTTTTATTGCACTAAACTCTTTCAATAATTAGTTATTAACAATTATTGTGCGGAATGTCGGCAGCGATACCGTACACCCTTCTGGTTTTTTATTAATTTTGTAGCTTTGTATAAATATGTTATGCACTTTCATACATGCGTTAGAAAGGCTATTCCTTTAGCTAGTTTCTCGTTACATTTTCATTAACATAGTCGTCGTAATTTGCGAAATATTAAACATTATTTGGGTAAGAACTACACTTGTCGCATTCAAACGTAGCGCATTTCCGTCATTTTTGTGAATAAGCATGATTAATTGTGTACTTTTAAGCATATAGAATGTAGCATAGTCTTTTTACTATATTCTCCAATAAGTTTGGAATATGTATCTGATGTGGTTTATGAAATATTAGCAATTGTTTGTAACAGTTGAGTATACTCGAGTACGATGAATAGAGAACGCTCCCATATAATCTTTAATAACTCCTACATTAAACCGAATATATTAATAAAATTATATAAGAATATAGCCAAAAGAGTTGCCTTTCAGCTGCGTATAGTTAATTGCACGAGAATTTAGTAGAAAGCTGTGAAATTATTGAAAAACCGTAAAGGTACTTGACGGTATGCGGTATCGTTCCCGACATCACGTACTGAAATTGTTAATAACAAATTACTGAAAGAGTTTAGTGCACTGAAAACTATATGTGAAAGTTGCTGAATGTTCATACTTCATTCTTCAATTTTAAAAGTTCATAAAATCATCGTAATTATTGAGTTATTAATGAAATTGCGGAAATGTGTTACGCTTAAATACAACGAGTATAATACTTACTCAAATAATGTTTAATAGCTCGCAAATTACGATGACTATGTTAATGAAAATATAACGAGAAACTAGCTAAAGGAATAGCCTTTCTAACGCATGTATGAAAGTGCATAACATATTTATACAAAGCTACAAAATTAATGAAAAACCAGAAGGGTGTACGATATCGCTGCCGACACTCGACACAATAATTGTTAATGACTAATTATTGAAAGGGTTTAGTGCAATAAAAACTATATGTGAAAGTTGCTGAAAGTCCATACTTCATTCTTCAATTTTAAAAGTTCATAAAATCATCCTAATTATTGAGTTATTAATGATTTTTCACTGACCGACGCGATTTAGGACATAGAAGGAGTAACATGGCGGCCGGCGGACCAATAGGAAGCATTCTCTCTCTATCCTTGTCGCACACTAGTGCTATCCTTGTCTAATACCTCTGTTTATATTCTGTTATCCTATTAAGAAATCGTAGTTCGCGTCACCAGACGCGAGATGACGTTAGTCTCGCTCACCTTTTTTTTTTCTCTTTCCTTGTCTACCACTATAACTTTCCTTGTCTAACTCATTACGCATAATAAAAGCACTGATTTTTTACACAATCAGTATTTCAGAAATTTCGATCGATATCTCAGAATGTATTAATAATTATGTGTTTTGGTAAATTTTGTCTCGATTTTTATATATATCTTAAGAAAAAGAAACAGTGAAATTAATGATGAATTTTTTTAATAGAAATATATTATAATTAAACAATTGTGAATGTTGTATTAAAATAATATTTCATTCTATACTTACATAAAATATACTAATTGATATGTTATATAAAATAAAGTATTAAGAATACTAGAATTAATGTAAATAAAAATTAGAGAAGAGAATGGGTGTTTTAAAAAAGAACCAGAAGAAAATATAGGATAATTAATTTATAATTATTTTAAGTTTATAAAACATTTTGTATACAAAAACGTACTATAAACCCATTAATACAGTACTAGCTGTAATCGGTGTTTGCGAAGGAGCACTGGCTTGTCTTACACTCATTTCCCAAGTGTCCAATAATTGAGATACAGAAAACCGACGAGGAAGTTTTGTTATACGTGCGTTTAAAGCTTTCTGTACTGCACACAGGAATGTTGTAGCATATTCATGAGGTGCCATTACACAACGCGGAGGTGTTAATGGATAGTCGGCGGGAACTGTAACTGATACAGGCGGAACACACGGAAGATGACGATCATCCAGCCAACATATTAGCTGAATACATTTTGATCCAGTTTGTTGTGCTGGATCCAGGCTAACCTGTACATATTCATATATGGTTATGTACATATAAAAATATGGCAACGTTCTAAATCACAAAGAAACATTTATTACCTTAAATCTTTGGTCTAATCGAGCTATTTCTCCTTGTAATACATCTGGTATTTCACTTAGAGATTCTTCTATTTTTTGTTTCTTTAATGGTGGTGGCAAATTCCTAGATGGATAAATTTTACTACTATAAGATATCTTACAATATAATTATTCACAAGTGAACATAACTGTTACTTACTTTATTTCTGGACCGAATAAAGCTTCCAAACACGGTCCGAAAGTACGTTGTAATGTATGATTTACTACTGGACTTTGGAGGTGAGTGCTTACAGCCTCTAAAAGTGGACTAAAGAAATGATGTTCTTTAAGTGTTGTGACTGGAGGTCCAACACTAGCATCATTTCGTTTAAAATCTAATTTTTCAAGAACAACTTCACATTTTAATAATGTATCTAAAGGCATTCGTTTGCTAGGATTTGATAAAATTTCTAAAAGTTTCTTCATTTTACTTAATTTATCAACGTCTGCAAAATAAAAAATTGTATAATTAATTATATATACAAATGAAGAAATTGATCGAGATTAATGTTAATATAAAAATTACTTACTTCCTTCATTTCCCATTTTAGAAATCATTCTTCGTAATGGTTCTACATATTTACTTAATTGTCTGACTTTATCCCTATATGCTTGATCTTCCTGTTGTGGACTTGGAGTAGCACCTACACCCCCGGGAGTATTTAAAGAACTACTAGGAGATGGTGCCATACCTAATTCCACAGATATTTTATGTTACTTTTATGGTATTTTGGTGATAGTAATGTTAAATTTATAATTCCTTTATTAAACACTATTTTAACATACCCACAGATCGTTGTGGTCCTGCCATCATTGCATGTTGTGGGCTTGATGATGGAACTAATGCTGGTGATGCTACCATTTGATTACTGTAATGTATATGTTGTAGTTATAACTTTGAATGTAATTCAAAAAGTGTATTTAGATAAGCTATTTAAAAGAAATAACCTTGATGGTGCACCCAAACCAGCAGGGCTTGGCGCTGATGGCGATGGGCTTTGACCTAAAAATTGGTTTGGTGTAACATTTCGAGGGCCAGGAAATCCAGTGTTTATCATTTCCCCTTGCTATAAATAATAGCACTTATGAAAATTTTTAAATAATGATATTTGTATATTAATTTTTCACTCATTATACCTTTCTTTGCATGTGACTTAATTGCTGCTGCATTTGACCAGGACCTAATTGTCCTGGAGCAATTTGATTCATTTGTTGAGGCATACTTGTTTGAATTCCACTCATGGATCCACTAATTTGATTACCTATTTGATTAGATAATTGATTTTGCATTTGAGTCTGAAAAAAATTATAATTTATCATTTATTGATATTTATATTTGTTATAAGGATAAAGAATATTTTTTTTTTTGTACTAAATACATACTTGCATGTTTTGTTGCATTTGACCTGTAGTTATTGGTCCCATTTGATTAGGAACCATTTGATTCATTTGCTGAGGAATATTTCCTTGTCCCATTTGATTCATTTGTGTCAACATTGCATTAGTTTGCATAGTTTGAATAGCACCCAAATGACTTATTGGACCACTGGTTTGAGCAGGCATCATGCCCATTCCTGGCATTTTGCTTTGCATACCTTGCATGGTTATAGGTTGTCCTGGTCGCTGATTCAAGCTTTGTAATACTAAAATAATTGATAGTACGAAATAAAATAGTTATTCTATGTGAATGAATCGTTATTACTTGTTTTTAAAAATATAACACACTACAGTAATTATATGGATAAAATGATACCACTATTCTTTTTTTAAAAAAATATATTTTCTCAATCAATGATCTTTTTAAACATACAATGTACCTAATACCTATATATTAGAAGGTAATATCTTTGAAAAATATGTTACAGAACTACATAAACAATTGTAATTAAAAAAAATTTATCATTTTATACAGTTTAAATAAAAAGTAATAAATGTAAACTTAAATATAGACATAATAAGAAACACCATAATATATTTCACCCTAAATAATTAAAATATATAATTAAGGTGATGGTGATGTTTCATCAAAGCTGTTATTATGTTCATTCATAAATGTTGTAAATGCATCCATTAAAGGGAGGTCCAAAAATATTTTTAATCGCTTTTCTAGTTTGGATACACACATTTTCCTTTGTTCTGCTGATACATCATAAGAATGTACATATGAATATGTAAACTTTTCAGCTTCAAAGTTTGAATCTAGCATTAGATCTAGAAAAATAATATCTTTAGGACTTGTCCTTTCTATAGCTTTTGGCCAAGCTTTTTCTTTCAGTACTATTTTTACATTAGTCAAAGATTTATTCATTTGAAATTCAATATCTTTATAAGCTTCTTTTGTACTGTCAATCATTTTATATATATATTCTAGTCTTTGTACAAAAATTTCTAACAAATTTTTTACTTTACGTATTATTTCAAGAACTCTTGGTCCAGTGGGATCATAAGTACCTTTTTTTATTTTATTATGAAGATTTATTACATCTGGTAACAGACTGCGTCCTAGACTAATGTACCATTTACGTAATAGTTTAATATAAACAAATGTTATTTTAAATTTGATGCCTGGTATATGAATTCCATTACTAACAGGTTTATAAATATAAGTTACTCTGTTATCTGCTATGTGAACTGTCATACCACATTGATCTTTGATCTTTTTTGCAAGATTTGTTTGTTCGCGTAATGTGCGCTTCCAAGATTCGTGTAATAATTCTTCATCGTTTCTACGTTCAATATATTGACGAAAACCAGCTTGAGATGGTGATTGTATTAATCTTTTATATGTCTCTGAATTGTCAGAGTCATAAGCAGGTTCACTTTCTATAGAGCTTTCATATTGCGAGTAATACATGTTAGTGAACCCTGACATTTTTGAAACTGTCTTATAAACTATATATTTAAATGTATTTCGTATAATTTAAAAAACAATAATTTTATTTAACTTTTATTACTGTAATTATTATGTTATGTTTCTTGTTTTTTTAATAAAAAGAAAGTATCAAGTAAAGTTATTAATTCATAATATTTTAAATGACAGTCACTTTAAATCTTGTATCTTTAGAATGATTCCTTCTAGAAACAAAAGTTTCAAATTTAAATATTACTTTGTTTATAATGGAATCATCTTAGGATGTATATGTCTTCTTTATATATTGTTGATATTTTAATTTTGAAAGATGTAAATTGTGATATGTTTCATATATAGGGTGGATAATAACTTTGTTTACCTAAAATATTTCTACCTTTCTCGAAAGTATAAATAAATTTGATTTATGAAAGTTGTACAATATTAAATAAGCCATATGTTTTTATTCCTAGTGCAATAGCAAGTTTTTGGTCGATTTAGACGACATATAGTATAAAAGCAATTAGAAGTAAATAAGAGATAAATAATGATTTTTACATTATAAGAAGTATTCATAGTGATGTTTATTTATATAGATGGAACACTGCAATCATCGAAGTGACGATCGGAATGATCATTTATAAATAAAGAACCAGAATTTCATTTGAAGTATATGTATTAAGTAATATGTATTATACATAGAATAAAAGAATATGTATTAAGAAATCTGATGCTCACATTACCAGCAATGATGAATGCCATGCATATTGTGCATGTATAATAAAAAGCACACGGAATATAATCTTTTCGAATCGGTGAATGAAACGCGGTAGACTAATTTCGTTCATCCACCATAACTTGCGCTAGAACGACTAAAAAGCAACTTCGGTTTTTCCAAATTTCAACTAGATGTTGTGGCACAAATTATACAAAGTGTATTTATTCCTTAATATTGAACTCGCAGAAGGATGTCTGTAGATGATCCACCAGTCCGTCTGCAAGCAAAATAATGGGGAACATTTTCCTAGAAGTATTCCACCCATGAAAGCTAAAGAAAACCCTCAAAGAAGACGCAGTGTGCGCGAAAAAAAAAATAGAGTGAAACTATGGGGGAATATAAGAAATGTTTTGTTGCATTACATGTATCATAATGCCTTGAAGTTTATCATTTTGTACAAAATTATTAATAAAGAGATTTATTGCACATATCTGTCTAAAATTTGTATAGAATTGTCTTCTTTGGATTTCAAGTTATGGCTTGCTTTGAATTACTGTGGGCAGTTTGGTCATGCACATCAGTGAATCAATTTCCAGCATAACTGATTAAAAAACATTGTACTAGGAAGTACTGACCACATTAGAAAATATGAAGTAGTATATCGTTGCGCTATATACTACAATTAATCCGCAAATAGTAAGTATATGTGTATTTCAGCAATTTGGCATTACTAATACTGTATCAATGTAAATGGACATCACTCCAAGCATCTTTGTGACATAGAAATCACTTTTTTTACCCCTTTCTTTATAGTAGAATGACTTTATACTACAGGTCGTTGAAATCGTCAAAGTACCCGCTATTGCACAGAGAATAAAAAAGTGTGGCATATTATTTGAAAAAATGAAAGTGACATTAAAATCTCAGATGCACCTCTACCCATAGAAACATTATTGCTAGGATAATTGCAGACAGTTGCATTGCACATGATATCCTTACTTTTTTAAAAGATATAATTACTTATAGTATTTAATAATTGACATATTTACAATTGGTAGCAGTATTTGCAGGTTGTTGTGGAATTATTCCTTGAGGATTAGGTCCAGGTCCATTCATATTCATCATTTGATTGTTACCCGTTCCTTGGCGTGCCAATGTTTGTAATGCTCCAATTGGGTCAGGCATTCCCTGATTTCCAGAACCAGCTGTACCTGGTGCTGTACCCCCTGCACCCTTTTTAGAATCTGAAAGAATTAGTGTAATATAGTTTAACCATCAATTGTGTAAATATAATTTGTATAAATTAGAATATGTATATATTACTTAATTCTCTGACATGTAGAATCAGTCTGGCTACAAAACCTAGATACTCTTCCTACAAAAAAAATAAAGTAGCAATTAATAAAGTTAATTAACAATTTTATCTTTAGAGTTTATGGTAAACAATACATCGATAAGTTTTATCTACAATATTTAATACATTATTAATTTGCTTAATACATAATCTGGAATAAATATGCAAATAGAGAAGAATTACAACAAACCTTAGTTTTTGCTTTTTGAAAAACATGATTTTCCATTTCAATACTATTTTTTGAAGTGGGCATTCCAGATATCTGTACTGCTTCATCTCTGTATAAACAATATTCAATAAATACAAAGGTATATACTTTATTTTTATAAATATACGAGTTCGCTTTTATTTTTACACAAATATTGCACACTACATGAATCACTCATTGTTTATTATAATGCATATTATTATAACTATAAAGATTTTAGAGACATAAATTAACTTACATTTTTGCAATTACACTTTGCCGAAAATTTTGTGTTCTCCAAGAATTTTCGTCTGTTGCCATTTTTAATGTTTAATAATTAAATCAACAATCGAAGCAATCACACAACTTTCTTTTCCCGAAGTAACTCAACGACTAAACACCTATATAGTAAACTGAGAGCTTGCTATTCGTAGCATAGTTTGGAACATAAAGGCATTAGTAAATAGCCTCTTTAATCACGTTTCTATGAGAACGATAATTATTACATTTCATGTATATAAGTAGCTATTGCTTAGTTTGTTGCATTCAATTTAATATTCAAAAATATTGTATAAAATTATAAATAAGACATTGAAAATGTTAGGAATATGTAATTAATTAATCTTTTGCAAAATTAAAAATTTTGAAATTGGTTTGAAAAACAAATAGACTCAAAATGCATTAATTTTTGGATATTCAGCTTACGATAAAGAACAAAATTTAAACCTTACCTAACTTCTTATCAAAAGTGGAAATTAATTCATGAAAATGCTGTGATGCATTATTTGTTCATCATGCTTGGAACTTTGCTCCTTAACCTTAAAATAAGCATACAGTTTTTAAGTAACCTCTAAATTAAAAATGGCAGAGTTAGAATTAACGGAGGAAGATTTAACACAAAAACATAAAAAAGAACGAAAGGAATTACAAGGTAACGGAATTAAATAACTCTTTTTAATATTTGTTCTTGTCAATTTCGGTTGATATATTCTTTTTCTCAAATATAAAAATATTTAATTGTATTTTTAAATTTAGCACAAATACAAACGTTGAAAAAGTCAATTTGCAAGGGTGATAAGAAGAAAAAAAGAGAAGTGACTGAGGAAATTGGTCGTTTAGAAGAAGCTTTAGACAAGAAACAAGAAGAAGAGTTAACTAGATGGAAAGTTGCACATCTTAATATAAATAATGTGGAAAATGAAAATGCAGAAAATAGTAACAATGAAAGCACAAATGACAATAAACAATGTGATCAGCTAACACAAAGAGTTTCTAAGGCACAAAAGAGGAGAGACAAGAAAGCAAATGCAGAGAAGGAACGGAATCAGAGAATCATAGAAGAAGAAGCATTAAATGTTTTTGGAAAGAGGAATGTAGAATTACAAACGATTAAGAAAATTCTTTGTGAACGTGGTTTAATGATTTATGAAATTCCAAGTGATGGTCATTGGTAAATTACTTGTTTACATAATTTATATTAGTTTTATATTAATTGTATATACTGATTGTTACATGATTGCATACAATTTTTCCAGCTTATACAATGCTGTTGCACATCAGTTGAAGGTTATAGGAGAAACTCCATTAAATTTGCATGATCTCAGAACAAAAACTGCTGTACACTTAAGGGAAAATATGAATGAATTTTTGCCATTCATTTCCAATCCAGATTCTGATGATTTTCTTTCACCAGAGCAATATGAAAAATATTGTGATGATGTTGCCAATACAAGTGCTTGGGGAGGAGCTATTGAGGTAAGTTAAAGTTAAATGAAAAATATTTGTATTTTTCTTTAATTATACTTATAGAATTATTTTTATTTAAAATAGCTACAAGTTCTTTCGCATGTACTGAAATGTCCAATAGAAGTCATTCAGGCATCAGGTGCACCATATGTTATTGGTGATAACTATAATAATGAAAAAAAAATGATAGTGACTTATCACAGACACATGTATGAATTAGGTGCTCATTATAATTCTGTCACCAAATATGTTAAAGAAGAAGAGAGCTGATAAAGATGGATATCATATTTGGCTAATATTTGCAATGGAGAAATTGAGCACACCTATTAGCATATTTTATTATGATGCAATATATGAACCATTTAAAGAGCTGCCACATATAAGTCTCCAGGAAACATATCAATTACATCTTAAATTAATATTTCAACGTTTCTCTGGTAACCTTAACTAATCATATACTTAAAAGTCTGTAATTTTTGTTAATAGTAAGTTAGATTTAAAATAATAAGAATTAATAGGTCTTCCTTTAGGTTTTTTGTAAAGGATTATCGTACTATTGTGAACATTTTATTTATTTATTATTTAAATATTTGACAATATACAGAAGCTGCCAGCATACTGCAAGTACACATTACTGTTCAGTGCTTGCTTGTTTTGAAGTTTTAATGTAAATACAAATTTAAATACGATTTACGTTTTTTATAATAAAAGTTTAGTCTTTAATGAAAATTAAACAAATATTTAAAAAAATGATTACTTTAGAAATATTAAGATTGTGTGTATGTATGAATATATGCTAATACTTTTCTCATGTGTTCTCATAGTTTTATGCTATTTTGATGGTAAGTAATATGTATAAAATGTGAAATAAAAATGGTAAAACGTTCTAGTTTAGTTTTCAAAAAGTATAATTTATTTCTTTTTCAAAAGTTATATCCATTGAATAGTTTGCACATTGTGAAATCATATACAATCACAGTATTACATTTTCACTTTTCCACATCATTTGCACTATCATTTGACGTTTTATTATCTTCAGTTACACATTGATTTTTATTTGGATCATCCGGTTTCATTTGTGGAAATAGTAATACTTCCTGTAAGTACATGTATATCTTCAGTACCACATTTTCCTTATAGTACTATTATTATATTAAAACTTACTTTAATGTTATTTGAATCTGTGAGAAACATAGTAACACGATCAATACCCATTCCCCAGCCAGCAGTTGGTGGTAAACCATATTCTAATGCAGTACAGAAGTTTTCGTCAATTAATTGTGCTTCGTCATCTCCGGCTGCCTTATCCTTTGCTTGTTGTTCAAATCTGTGTATAATAATGTTGAAATGGAATTAATAAATTAATTATTGTAATTGCAATTAATAAAAGTTTTTGTTTTAATACCTTTCCCTTTGTACTATAGGGTCGTTTAATTCTGTGTACGCATTGCAAACTTCTTTTTTCATAATAAATAATTCAAATCGTTCTGTTAAGCCCTGCTCAGAACGATGCCATTTTGCTAATGGGGACATGATTTGTGGATGATCCAAAATGAATGTAGGATTGATACAAGTTTCTTCTATAAATTCTCCAACAAGCTGTTAAGAATATGCTGATTAGTATATGCATTTACTTATTATTTTTAACTTTAGAAATAATTTTACCTTATCTAGTAATCTTGCTGTTGTTCTTGGTGAAGGGCACTCAATTTCATGTTTGGTACAAAGATCATTAAGCATTTCATTTGCTTCTAGAGTATTTAATTTATCTGCTGGAGGTAACTTAACTTTTAAGAGTTCTTCTAAAGTTTTCATCATTGAAACACGTTTAAATGGTGGACTAAAATCAATTTCTACCGCTTCGCCCTCTGGCCCATCTGGATGGTATGTTATTTTATAACTACCATGTATTGCCTTCACCATGCCTGATACCATATCTTCTGTGATAGACATCAAGTCGTTATAATCTGCATAGGCCATATAAAATTCACAAGTAGTGAATTCTGGATTATGTGTCAGATCTATTCCTTCATTTCTAAATTGTCTTCCAATTTCATATACTCTGTCCAATCCACCTACAACTAACATCTAGTCATGGAGAGAGTAATGTATTAATACATACTTTACATATAATAGTTACTTATAATTATACAAAAATATTCTTTACTTTAAGATACAATTCTGGAGCAATACGCATATACAAGTCCATATTTAATTCATTGTGATGTGTAACAAAAGGTTTGGCTGTTGCACCACCAGCAATCATATTCATCATTGGTGTTTCAACTTCTAAAAATCCAAGTTCGTCAAGAAATTTACGAACGTATGCGACTATTTTTGATCGGGTGTGGAACGTTTTTCTCACTTTATCATTTAATATGAGATCCAAATAACGTTGGCGAAATCTTGTTTCCTAAGTGATTAAAAGTAATACAATTATCATTGGTCAAAAGTCTAGATGAAAGCCTTTTTATTACTATTTTATTTTTACCTTATCTTTCAATCCAAAATAAAGATTTGGCAACATATGTAAACAGGGACTCAAAAGTGTAATATTATGTGGCATAATAGAAAATTCACCCTTCTTAGTTTTTCCAGGATTTCCAATTACACCAATAATATCACCCCTTCTTATTTTAGAAATGTCAGTGGTAAATTTTTCTTCATTTTTATAATGTCTTGCATTTGCCATTACTTGAATTTTAACACCTTCTCCTCTGAGGTCATAAAAGATAAGTTTAGCACCAGATTCTCTAATGGCATGCACACGACCAGCAATGCTATGTACTTCATTCTGTAGGAGTTCTCCATTGTTTATGTTATTGCTAAATTTCTTGATGAAATTTTCCAATGATATTGATACATGAAACTTATGAGGATATGGAACATCATTTGTGTTTTTAAGATGAGTGATTGCTTGTGTCCGAAGTTTAATGTATTCCTGAAAAGTAAATATGGTAATTTTAATATTCAACTTAAATACAATAATGGTATATTTGGACTAATATCCTCCTCTTTCACTTCGTTTTTCTCTTGTGCTTTAGCTTGGGCTTTTGTTGATGTCTCAGCTTCTTTTTCTGCCTTTTCCTTTAATTTTTGTTCTGCTTTCAAACGTCTTTTTAATTCACTGTAAGTGGATTTAAAATGTTTGAAGTATAGCTTTTATTTCTCAGATACGAAAAAATTTTCTTAAGTCGTACGCACTTCGTGTGAAAATGACGTATAGGTATCTGATGCAATTTTGTTTTAAAAAGCACCGGTAATACCACGTCAACAAATGCTTTGGTTATGTTACACACCATAATTAATTATAAGTATTGCTGGTATTATAGTAGTCGTTTATGTACACGTATATATAAAATAAATATATTTACTTATAGATTTTTGTAAAATAATACTACTTAGCTCTTTGGAGAATTATATCTATGCAGACAGTTATCCATAAAACAATGTGGATGACCAGAGCATGACATGTGATCATTCTACCTTATCTAGGTTATGTTACAATTACAAGTACAGATAATAAGAAATTTTACACAGGCGTAAGATATAAAATTTGTAAATTTAATTTACCAACAGAATCATTATTTTACTCACTTTTTTGATAATTTTTCACTCATAGTGTCAGCCATGTTGGTAAACCTCTGCAGAAAGGATTCTTGTTTTTTGGTTGGCGAACCTGCAAGGTGGTTTCATCTGCCAAATTGAGTATCTCAGTCTTTCTCCGGCGCGTAATTTTAATCGTAAATTACTTTTTTGATTTAACAATACTTTTCTTACAGATTTTATTTTATTATTTCTATTACATGTTTTAAGTGCGTAAAAATATCCGAAAAAATGATTATTCCGTTTTAATTTAGACGTCATTGGTACTGATACAATATTCGAAATGTGTTACCTTGACAACAGCATTTGTTGATTCATGTGTTTAGAGTCTGCTGCTTATAATTAATGTCAATTTGAAAAGTGTTCCGTATTTGATAAAAAAAAAAGAAAAGAAATGGATGGTTATTTCGGTTATCATGAATTAAAAGCATTGCAAGAATTAATCAATCCTCCGAAAAATGATTCAGATTCTGAAGATGATTTACCACAGGCTGGCGCTCTAAAATTTGGTAAGTGAAACAACTTTCAGGATGCAGTTATGTCTGCTCCTACATATTTATTTTCTAACATAACATCGTGTATTCTTTTTTTCGCGAGAATTACAGTAAAGATAATAACATAACACATGTCGCTTTTGGATTTAGATACTTTGTATTAAACACGATTAATATGTATTAGCTTTGTTGCAGTAGAATAAATGCAATAATTATATTTCGATAAAATGAATTATAAAGATCGAAAATAGTTTAGAATATTTCTTTTTCTTTTAATTAATTTGATGTTTATAATAGTAACAATTCAAAATTGAAAAGAATAACAATTTATATATTTTTATGCTTAACACGTCGCTACCAATGTCACAATTACATTATGTACGTGACGCACCAATATTTATGACAGATCGATATTGCGCATATACAAGGTGTTCGGCAACAGTTGGTAGAAAATTTAAGGGATGATTCTACACGCGAAAATAAGACGAAAATCAAGAGTAGTTTTAGTTATTAACATTTAAGAATACCTCATGTAGAATATATAATTTGCACATTTAATACAAATTACACGCGTATGAGTACAAACCTACACTGTACTGAATAAAACTATGTACTCTGCAGGGAACGTGTTAAATTATGCTTCATTCGTATGAAATAACCAGCGATTAATTAACCCTCTATGGGCCGAATTTTTTTTTCGACTATAAAAAAATGTATGTAACGTAAAATTAAGAAATATCGTCCTATAAATACAGAAATTGTGCAACAAGGCGTTTACGCCATCTTGTGGAAAAAAGGTCAATTATTTAATAAAATATCGATATATTAGTATGTGACTTGAAAGTTACACGGGCCCATAGAGGGTTAATAGCAAAGTAGAATTCGTAAAATTATTTAATGTAAATTGGATATTACGAAATGACGTTGATCAAGGTACATGATATTAAAGGAAACAATACAAGTTTTCAATCAAATACGACTGTTCCTTATTTTTAAAAGATATTACGCAATGTAGGCAACAATATGATATTTTTATATCTGTAGTACCTTTCAGGTGAGTACATCATTATTAATAAAAATGAAAAAGAAGGCAGAGAAAAAAAATGTACGTGTGTTACGGTAGAAAGTAGGTTTTATAGGAGTATACGCGAGATGCAAAATGGATACTTTTTAAGGACCTGGAAATATCGGTGCCCAGAATGGGATGTCTCAGAACCACGCGGCGGGCCCGCATACACCACTGAAAGCGGAAGCTGATGATATTTGGCATCCGTCTGAGGCAGCCGCTCCGCAGAATTCGGAAGCCTATGATCCGAGAGAGGTGCCGGAATACGAGATGAAATTTAAGCAGGCGGTGACGACGGAAGACGTCTTTTTAGGCGTTAGTGTCGTCGCATCGATATGTACACCGAGTAAACCGGCTTGAAATTCGTATACTTTGCACGCGTTTGCGATGCAAACTTTCTGATTAAACCCCTTGGTTTATGTTATGCTCCAATCATGTCAAATGAGAGTTGCATACGATAGAGCTTCATTTTAATTCCAAGTTTAGGTTTAGTTTGAAAAGTAAAATCAAGAACCGTCGGACAATGAATTAAAAATAATAGTATTTCAGGGATTTTCAGCTGAAATAAAGTAGTTCGATTGTACGAAAATCGTAAGGCAAGGGGTTCTTTCGAAAAGGTATACCGAATCGAAGTAGAATTATTTGTGTAATTAGACAGCTTAATTTATTGCGTGATTAGTTATAGTTGTACGTTATGCTTACCATTGTAAAAGGTTCCGGTGTTTCAGAGTGTATTTGTTCTTTGCATACAATAGAATTTGTATTTCACACATTATCTTGCAGTTGAAGTATCTTATATTGCACGTAATTACGCGAAGATTATTACTAATCGACACTGTTCGTCGAATTATACGATTTGTAATATAGCTGCGTGATTATCTTAGCATATGAAATCTCTAAACTTCAAGCGTGATCTTTCCCTTTCTTTCCTAAGCAATATCCTCCCACCGTTTTTTTTTTAATTTTCTTACGATAGAGAAATAGGATTCACTCCATAAGATAAACCTCCTAAATATGTTAATCTTCTAATCTCACGAGACTTCTCTAAACTTCAGGCCTGTCTATCGCTGTAGCGTGATCTTCGTCTTTCTTTTCATAGCAACATGCTTCCGTCGTTTCTTCTCTTACGATAGAATACTGTAGCGCAATAGGATTTATCTCTGAATACCATACATTTAGTTTCCTTTGCAATAAACGAAGTCTTGTTAATTCAGATGGGATTCAAAACGCCAGGCACAGCATCCTGCGAGTGGCTGAACGTGTTCGTAAAGATGCCGCAGGAAGCACGAGAAAAGATCGAGCTGTCCGTGGAACCTGAAGCGATCGACGTGCGTAGTCCAAGGTGAGGGAGGAACCCGACAATTTATCTGCCTTCAATTCCCAGATAGAAGCCAGAATTTCTTTTGACAATTTTTCGCAAGCGTGTAAATTCGACGGAGTGTAAAGCCAGTGACAATTTTCCAGGTACCGGCTGCACCTCGAGACGCCGCAACCGGTCAATCCTAACGCCTCGTCTGCCAAGTGGCACAGCGACACCTCCACCTTGGAGATCACGCTCAGACTTGTACGCGAGCTGGACGACGTGAATTTTTAATCGACGATTAGGTAGGCTTTCAACCTCGACCCTGTACACAGCCGGAAGCGATCCTGCATAGGATGCGACCGGGATCGTCGTCCACGTCCGCGTGCATTACCGTTCGTAAAGTTGGGCTCACCGATCTCAAATTTCATTTTGTCGAGAGATTCCTTAGTATCCGGGCCCGGTCGCCTTTGAAAGTTCCTTGGCCGATGTAATATTTATGAGATGGGGTAATAATAGGGATCGGTGAAGTTCTTTAGGGCGAAGATATAGCAGAAAATGATGAATATAGGTGTGCATTCTGGGGTATTGATCGTTAACGGGAAGTTAGTATATGATTACAAAGGGAAACGTTATTTTTTGATGTAGACATTTTTTCTTTCAATGGTTCCAATTGTAAGTTCTGCAAGATTTGAGCTTTATACGCGATGATTCAGGAGTTTTCGTTATTTGATCGGGCTCAAGTTTTGCAGAAGTTTCGTTCTTGATGAGTTGGGATAGCCATGTATAATTAAGTATTAATGAAATTATTGTAGATCGTGTGGCTTTTGAATATTTCAATATTAATAATTAAAGTGCAAGTGTCTTGAGTGGAAGATCAGAGTTATGTTAGTGATTTTTGAAAATGTTTTCTAGGTATTCAGGTGCTTTTCATTAGAAGACAAATTTTTCCAGCTCAGAGTAAAGTTTCTATGGGAATTTAGCAATTTAGTTACATATTTTAAAATT